GAATATAAGCAGACGTTCTGGCTTTTTGCTCTCTCTGGATCCTGCGGTTGCCTGCTGTCGTCTCATCTCCGGTTCTTGGGACTTGAGCTATCAGCTTATCTGCCGAACCTGGGATTCGTCGATCTGCACAACCTGTGAGTGGGAGCCCTGCTCTCCGACCTGCCGATCTTGGGCCTGCCAGCTTCTGTGGCTGCGTGACTTGGGAGAGGCCTCTACCCTGATCCATGGACTTGGGACGTTCTAGCCTCTACAATCACGTGAGCTGTTTCCTTGATATAAATCTCTCTGTATATATGTATGTATACACTTTACTGGTTTTGCTTCTCTAGAGAACCCAGCCTACGACACCATACTAATTGTAAATGTAAAGGACATGGTTACGCAAGGAAAGAATAAGGCATAGTTCCTGCCTTCAAGAAGCTTACAACAGGGGGAAGCAGTCACGAGAAACAAAAGATGTCAATAAACATTAAAAACCTTTATAACAGCCATAAAATGTCTCAGATGTGCTTACTGCTAAGTTGTATACTCTTTATTGACTGTAGGTATTTAGAATTTTACGTTGCATAGGAAATGGCATTTTTCTGTGAACATATATTCATCTCGTGCCTCCTTTAAGGAACACCTCTGTGCCAGCCAATATGCAGGTGCTGGTCAGGAGCATGACAGGGGTAACGAGCAAACGGGGAAATCTCTAAGTTGAGCCCCACCCATCCCCCCAATTTGAGCACCTAGGAACAATCTCTAGGTTGCGCTCCCCTCCCCCAATTTCAAGATGAATAGATGCTGATAATGGTGACGATGATGCCAGCAGAAATGCCTTCCCCACTCTTGTCTGGCTGCCTCTGTTAGGTTCCTTTCATATTTGTGGTGTCATGGAATGTCATTTTGCATCTCATCTGACACCCCCTTAGACTTGTGCCTGGGGGGCAAGTGCCCTCTTCTGCATCCTACCCCTGACCCTCACCACTTCAGGTGCTGGGCAGTCAGTGGTGAACAAAACAGGCTGTGGCCCCTCAAGGAACTTCAGCATTTACTATAGGATGGACACACTATAGAAACTTTAACAGAAAATAACTATATATAACTCATTCATAAAAAATTATATATAGGGTACTTAATGGCACAATCAGTTGCTCTGTGGAAAGAATAAGTATCTTCTCCCAGACAAGATACAGAATCAAAAATGATTTTGTGATCAGCTCTGGTGACAGACAGGGGACGCAGTATGTACTATCTGAGTCAGCCAGCCCAAATGCTGCCTTACAGGTGGCTACCTTCGAGTAGAAAAGAACACTAAGGAATACCCAGACAGAGAATATTTTGTAATATAACCTGCTCCACGGCAAGTAGCAGATTGTTAAAAGCTTGGTCTATTTTTCAGTGATTACTTTATAAGTAAAGGTGAGGCTCTAGCCCCATACCTATACACTTAACAGCTCAATGAATGTCCTAGAGGTGATTATGTCTTGAATGGCTTAGTATTCCTTCAGCACACTTCTTCTGTCGGTATTTACCCTTCAAATCATGTTAGGAAATCAAAGCGCACATATTTAGAACTGAAGCTGTTCCAGCTGAGAGGTGCAATGGAATAGCATCAACTTTACTTATCTTAGAACCAAAAGCAAAATACCAAATTCATTCCAACATGTAGTCAGATTGCTGTCCTGAAGAAATGTACTTTTCTGTTCGAGTGCCAGCCCATCAGATTCCTGCTTTGGTTTAAAGGTGACCTCAATGAAAGGTCTGCTTATGGGTTCAAAGAAGTTTGTTGTAACACTGCTGAACATAGGGAAAGAGAATGAAGAAAAAGATATATGAACAGAATAAACATAAAAAGGCAAGCAAAAAAAAAAAAAAAATCTCTGTCATGCTCAACATAAAAGTTATTACTGCAACAAACACCAACAGTTCACTCTGGCTCATGCCAGTCCCTTTTGTCATGGAAACAGCTAAGAAACATCAAAGAAGAGTAATCTTGATGGACACAGTGAGAAGCTGCAGAAAAGTGGCCCCTGGAGCTGGAGGATCATTGCTTGTAACATCTTCATCTTAAGATGAGGAGACTAAGGCTGGGAGATGCTGAATGCCTGGGTAGATCAGAGCTCCCACACAGACAGCCAGGAAGAGTCAATGTTTCCCAAGCCAGTGCTGCTCCACAGGCTTCATTTGGGTAGCCTATCACCTACGATGCTATCACCTATGATGCAAGCACGGCCAGCTCTCTCCTGGAAACAGCAGTGGAACCTGCGCTCCCCTCACCACTGTACTCTCTATTTGCACTGCTTATGGAGTGCACTGCTTATGGAGCCATTCCTTCAAAAGTTGTTCCCTTTAGAGGTAGGACTTTAAAAATAAGTAAACAATTGGACTTTAACAGGTCAAATATTCCATTTTCCCCCTCAAAACTATAAATAAATATATGTCTAAATTTCTGACATTTATGTTTATCCTTCTGCAATTCTTAATACTTTTTAGTCCAAAGTAGTTTCTAACATAAGAGAAAGAAGGATAAAATATAAATTTATATTTTCATGTACTATTTACCCAGTTGCCATTGAGTCCATTCCAACTCATGGCAACCCCATGTGTGTTAGAGTAGAACTGTGCTGCACAGAGTTTGCAATGGCTGATTTTTCAGAAGTAGACTGCCAGCCCTTTCTTCCAAGGCACCTCAGGGTAGACCTGAACCTCCAATCTTTTGGTTAGCAGCAGAGTGTGTGAACTGTATGTACCACCCAGTGACTCCCATTATCAATTATTAATGTAGCATCATGTTCTCAGTCTCCCAGTCTAAACAATTAGAGTCACTTTTGCCATCACCAATTCTTTCATTCCTCTTATTTAAATCTGCTACCAAATAAATCATCTTTCCCCATGAAAAACCCTCCATCATTTCCAATATCATCTCCTCACACTAATTTATTTAGCCCACTTATACCTTCCACCACATCAGAGTCAAATTCTACAATTTGACTTTTAAGAGGTTCCATCACCTAGCCATACCTTGCCTATTCAATCTTTTCTTCTGCCCTCTGATATGGTAGATACACCTTCCTATGGTCTTCCAAATCGATCCTCTCCTAATCTGCAGTACCATCTACCTGCAGCCCCATAACGTTTCGATTATTTATCCCTTTTGGACACTGGCTCAAGCAACCGACTCTGCCAAAAATACCATCCCTCTCTCCCTTTCTCCCTCCGGATTCACAACCCTCAAAGCCCTACTCAAACCTCACCCCTCCTAGGAAAGCTTCCCTAACCACTCCGCCCATACCCCAGTATTCATAACTCACTTTTGTACTCAACTGTTCTCTAATTAAAACATAAATAAATACAGCTGCTTGAGAAAAGGAACTCTCTCTTTTATGACACCTAAGCCGATTCTGAACAGAGAAGGGGAGATGAGTAAACTCTTAATAACACACAAAGAAAGAAAAATCAGTGCTAGAATGCCATTCCTTTACAACCTGGTCACTTACTCTCAAAAGGCCAGGAAAAGTACACACAAAATGTATGGACATTAACTGTTTTCTACCTTATCCGGCTTCGGGTGGTGGGAGTCACAGATGCTGTGGGAGAGGAGGAGAGGGAGAGCTGTGGGGACGTGGTTCCAATAGCCATAAGTGAGGCCGGTGATGCGCCCTCTGGTGTAGAAATGTCCCGTTTCATTTCTTCACTACTTCGTCGAGACACTGACGGTGAGAAATGGTCATTATGCACTTTACAGCAAACACATTTGGGACATTTTAAATATTTGCTACTGAAGGTTCCAAAGAACATATATTATCATATTGGAGGAAAAATTTACACCATCTTTATCTTACTGATAACTTGAAGGGATTTTTTAATTAAAAAGTCTGTAAAAAGGTAGAGCAATTGAAATCTGCATTGGACTCCACATTCTTTGAGGGTAGGTGGTATGTCTTATCCATTTTTATAACACTCATGGTATCGAGCACATAGTGAGTACTCCATAAACGTTTAATTACAAACACAACTGAAAAACAAGATCTAACTAAAGCAGTACTGCCAAATACCCACAATTAAAATCAACACAGTGCTTCCAAACTTAGCCAAAACTGCCATTAAAGGGACAGAAAGAAAGGAGATGCTTCATTACAGGCTACAATTATTTCTGGGTCAGGCCACGTTTTAAAAAACATAAATCAAGGAGACAGACAGAAAATCAAGGGGTGTCAACTAATGGGAAAGAGCAACAATCTGAGAAGTTTGAAAGTTTGACACGGTAAGACACTGTACCTTGTTAGGATTACAACAAGCTCTCCTAAGAACTGTCACGTAGAAGTAGCCACTTCAGCCATTGAAAGCAGAGCCACCAGAGCACCCTTGCAGTGAGGACACAATGAATACAACCAGGTGCTCAAGATGCTGAGTACAGTGAGAAGTGAGATGTGGACAAAGTTCCAGACCTCAGACAACTTCTCTCTCACCTTGGAAGGTGCTGGATATGCAGAAAGCACTAACTGTATCACCCTTGTGCTGGTAATATCAATGTGCAATCAACGCTGCATATTCATTCTTTTATTTCCCTTGATTACTGAAACCATCTCCCTTTTATTTGCTAAGACTTTCTTGGTGGTTTTAGGATAACCACAAGCAGAGTAAAACTCTGCATTATGGTAGTACAGTGATGCTCTTAAGGACCCAGAGGGGACAGACACTTTCCTCTATTAACTGGTACTAGAATGATATGCTTGTATAGTTATGGTACACTTTTATTTTTGTGTTTTTCTTTCAACGTCTGATCTCTTTATGCCTCAGATCAGCAGTTTCTTTTAGTTGATATGCTAGGAAATGGATGAGAAAATCTCTTAGAATTTTATATAAAATAGAAAAACAGATTCAAGAGAGAATCTGAAGAATTCTGTTATGGGAAAAACACACAGAAAAAGGCTTTGGGACCTGGGCTTTTTGATAGTAACTGTAGGCTATCATAGGACTTTCCCACTGACTTGAAGACCTGCCTACGGTGCCTGTGCTCAGTTTAACTCCATGGAGAAGTGGGTCAGTAACTGCTGAGGCAGGACGATAGGTGTCTCTCCTTTTCTGGTACAATTTCTAGTTGAGATATTAACGGTAGGAAAAGGCCACGAAGAGAATGCATCCAAGATGAAAAAACAATATGCACAACCAAAAAACTGAAGCGTTAGCTTCAGAAGACAAAGTGAGCCCACCAAATTCACAATTATAGGATGGCTTTATCAGTAAAGAGCTGTGGCTGCTCACCAAACTGTAAGCAGTTTGAATCCACCCAGCTGCTCCTTGGAAACCCTATGGGGCATTTCTACTCTGTAATATAGGGTTGCTATGAGTCAGAATTGACTTGACGGCAACGGGTTTTACCATACTGGAAAATTTTAGCTTCTGGAGTTCTGGTGTGCTCTAGAGTAACTTTTCAAAATCAGTCATGACACACCTTGGGATAAATATTCTAATCTTTCATGTCGACGTCAACTTTTTATGAATATTTGTTAAGTGAATGGAACTATCTAGCTTTTGTTTTGTTTTTTTTTTTTTAAATCCGGGCAGTGAAATGTGATTTCTATATACTCATTTGGAAGACAGAATAGGGCAAATTCAGAGTGAAAAATAACCAACTCAAAGAGCTAAAGAAGCAAGTAGAGTTAAATAATAAGATAAAATATTCAGTACCATCACTAAGACTTCCGGAAGAGTCAGCAGGCAGAGCCATTACCTGAGATGGTCTTGGCACTCTCCATGGCAGGCACTCTTGGCAGAGCAGCAGGTCTGCTGGTTGAAGATGTCCTTAACAGATGCTCTATGTAAGGTGGGAAGGGTCACAACAAAGAAAGCGATATTGAACTTTGCAGTGACAAAGGAGAATTTTACTCCTCTAACCCTTGAGGCTATCTTTCAAAACAACTCCCACAGACAAAGAACCCAGAACAACATTTCATTCAGATTTTACTTCTAGGGGTGAGACGCTCTGCACAGATGAATGCTTCTAAACCACTGGTGGCCACTTACCTCTTCGATTCAATTCTACCAAAATCAAAGATGGCTCTATTTCATCTAGATCTAAAATTATAAACTATATAAAGCCTTACCCTGACAGGCTTACAGGTCATGGGGAAGTCACACATATCTACAATCACAGGCAAGTAAGGACAGGAGAATTACAACCACAGAATCATAAAGGGCTATGAGACCCCAGAGGACAAAGTCATTCACTTGCACTTCAGGCAGCAGGGAAGGCTTCAAAACACAAGACATTAAACTGGGCCTTATCAGTAAAGAAGAGGGTGGGAACAGTATTTCAGCCAGACAATAATAAGAGCAAAAGTACACGGACATTGGAATTAGACAAAAAGAAATCCTAGTATGGCTAAGACACAGGGCATGTGGAAAACCGCGAGGACAGCAGCAAAGGGGTTTTAAAGGAGGATGAGGCTGGTGGACGGGAACCCTCACTACCTGGATGTGGACTTTAGTCTGAGGGAATAAGAAGGTTTCACACATTTCTGAGCATCTGGGGAAGGACACAAATGTAACAGATGCCGCCTCTGCCTTCTGTGTCCACAGCCTTCCCTGTTCCACTCCTCCCTTGCTCTCTAAACAAGTACTGTCTTAGCACAGGCACATGCTGTTCCCTGCTTCCAGGGCCCCTTCTCTTCCATCCCCTCTCTGGCTGGCTGTCTTGATCACCCCTCAGGCCTCAGCCTGCAAATCACTTCTTCAGGACCTGCTCCCCCACCAGCCTCCCTTCCTGCACACTTTTTATCCAGGGCCACATGCCTGACAAGAGGCTGTCTTCAGGCCAGGACATGTGGAGGCAGGCACAAGGACAAACCAGATGTGTCCTCCCTGCCCGGAGCCTGGTGTGCTATGGCTGTGTGACTAGCCTGAGGGAAAGCACCAACTCTGAACCTAACGAAGACAGTTAAATCAGCTGTCCAAGAACGTCCCCGCAGCAAATATATGTTAACCATATACCAACTAAACAGGTCATTTACTACTTCTTTTTAAGAACTGCAATATCAAAAATACTCCCTCTCAAAATATCATGATGTCAAAAGCAATGGCATATACATTATCTTTTAAGAATATAACACATCTTTTATTCTGAAATATATTTTCTAAGAGTGTGAAGAACACTTAGCTAAAATTACACACTGTTTTGGAGGGGAAGGGAGTAGAAAAAGCTTACTTTCTGAACAAAAATGCGGAACATCTAGCTAAAAGACAGAGCACCTTTCTTATCTTGCACACATATCACCTCTGCACAGAGGATAAAGGCGTCAATCAGAACCCTGAACCCTGTCAGCAGTTGGCATCTGTCCTACGGGAACAGCACATTATGCACAGAGTCTGACAAACAAAACAAAGTTAGCAAAACATGGAAACAGCAGGAAACAGAAGTCAACATTTAAATCAAATGTTCCATCTATAATTATGAAACTGTGATCATTTCGCTAAAATCTCAGTCTTCCAAAGAAGACAGTAGATTAAGAAAGTGAAAACAGAAGTTAAAAAGACAAAGAAATCAAAACTGGGAGTGTCGGTGTGATGGTTAATGTTATGTGTCACCTTTGCTAGGCCATGATTCCCAACATTATGTAATTATCCTCCATTTTGTGATCTGACATAAGGGGAGCTTCCTTGGGCATGTGGCTTATATGCAATATATACGGATGTTCTGGCAAAGCTTTCTCTCTCTTGATCTTGCATCTGATTCGACACCCTCTTTTGAACTCAGGTTTTTGGGACGTAAGCCATCTGACATGCAGATTTTGGATTCGGCAGCCCTGCAACCACATGAGTCAGGAGAAGCCTACAGCCTGACACATGACCTACAGACTTGGGACTTGCCAGCCTCCACAACTGCACGAGTCCTTTCCTAGAAATAAAGCTCTCTCTATATATATATTCATACATATACACTTCACTGGTTTTGCTCCTCTAAAGAATCCATCCTAAGACATTTGGTACCGAGAGTGGTTTAAGAGGAATAAAATCATAAAGATGAGTTTCCTGAATTGGTTCTCAAGTCTGGCTAATCTTAGAGGTGCTGATGACTCTGCCTCCAGTAGTAAAGTGGGCTCTGCTAATCCACGGTATAAGGTGGTAACAGAAATATGCAAAATATCACCACCAATGGATCAAATATTTGTGAGAGACAAGGCTCCAGATGATTGCATATTTGATACTTCTCTATAATTTTGTCAGAATGAGAAGTATGAGGAAGCAGGTTGGTTGGTCCTAGACAAAGTGGTGAAAGAAAGGGATGAGCTGAAAGCTTCAGAGCCACAGTTCAATCACTGCATACAAGACCTGAAAGTTGCCACCTGTGCCCCGAAAGAAAGCCTCATTTTTTGTAGTAACAAAGCCGAAAACCAAACCCAGAGTCTTATCGTAATAGTGGCTGAATTACAATGCTAACTGAATCTGCAACCTGAAATAGCGTCTGAAGTTAAAAGTGAGGGCACTGATTGGGAAGAAATGGGATCTTGAAACTTGGGTAGATAAACAGCTGGGGACACTGAGTACCAAAATTCTACTGAATCACTCCTACCAACAGAACGAGCCCTCTTACTCCCATCTAAAGAGATGACTCCACCTTTGTTTGCTAAGCCACCCTACCCAGGAAAACCATTCTCCATTCCACAACCATCTGATGAGATTAACCCAGCTATGCCTGAAGAGTCTTTCTTTGTCTAAGATATCACCTAGGGTGGCGCCTGCGGCACTTCATGATGCAGATGCCTTACAAGCCATTTCTGAAAGTCCCCAAGGCCCACCCACACCATTCATTTTTGTTTCCAGAACTATAGCTAGACTTACACCCCAGCGAGCCCTAAGAGGTGAAGTATAAAGTGTGACCCATGAGGAGGTACGCTATACTTCAAAACAACTGCTTGATTTTTAAACATATACAAACAGAAACCTAGGGAGTATGTGTGGGAATGGCTATTAAGAGTGTGTGAAAATGGTGCAAGGAACACAAAGATGGATCAGTCTGAGTTTACTGATTTGGGCCCACTAAGCACAGATTCTTCATTCAGTGTTTCAGGATGAGAAGTTGGAAAAGGATCTAATTGTTGGGTTAGTTCACTGAAGCATGGATTAAACGATGGCCTACACTAAGTAAGTTAACTGCCAGAACTGCCTTGGTATATTGTAGAAGAAGGTATCCATAGGCTTAGGGAAATAGGCATGTCAGAGTGGATTTACCAGGTTGGACTCACAGACCCACCCATGGAGTGTCCAAAGGACATACCTTTTACCACAACAGTGAGGAACAAATCTGTGAAGGGAGCCCCAGCATCCTAGAAGACTGCTGTGATTGCTCTTTTATGTATGTCAGATTTGACAGTGGGAATTGCCCTAACTGAAAAAAGACACCTAACTACAATGGGGCTAATCGAACCCTGGAGTGGTAAGGGCCAAGTGGCAGCACTTACTCCCCAAAGAAAAGGTGGCTGTGGTTATCGTAATGGACAGCAGAGCCAAAGCAGTAATCAGAAGCGTCTGACTGTATGGACTTAAGGGGCTGACTACTTAGTCATGGTGTCCCTACGAGTGAAATAGATGGGAAATCTACTAAATATTTATTTGATCTGGACAAGCGGAAGAATTCAGGTAAAGAAAATCGCCAGAATAGAGAGTCACAGCAACTCAATCAATTTCCAGACCTGACCTAGTTTACAGACCTACAACCTATTGAATAAAGGAAGCCAGGTCCCCTTGAGGAAGGACCCCACTACACTGCTACAAATTTATACTGTTAATCTTTCTCCTAGCCTTCCCCACAGGGATCTGTGGCCTTTTACAAAATAATCAGACTTTTCAGGGATTACTGGACACTGGCTCTGAACTGACACTAATTCCAAGAGACCAAAAACGTCACTGTGGCCCACCAGTCAGAGTAGGGGTGCAGAGAGGTTATTATTTATTTTTTTCCTGCAATATAGGATGGTTTTACATTTAATTATATTTGATTTTTCTTCCAAATTTTATTTATTTTACTGTTGTAGTTGAGAATATACACAGCAAAACATACACCAATTCAAGTTTCTACATATACAAGTCAGTGACTCTGATTACATTCTTTGAGTTGTACAATCATTCTCACCTTTTTCAGAGTTGCTCGTCATTAACAAAAAATCATTGCCATCTAAGGTTTCATTTTGGGATGTGATGTTAAGGGGAGTTTCTTTGAGTTGCTGTTACCAATTTGATCCCATATAGATAGTTCTTAAGAGCATAATGCTCAAGGTGAACCTTTTTCACTAGCAAATTAAACCACTATATGGTTTTAAAATGACTTCAGGGAACATTTTTGGTTTAAGGTTTAAAGATTATCTCAGGATAATGCTTTCAGATGTTCAGCGGCTATATGGCTACAGAAAGTCTAGAACCCATGAAAATTTTACACTCTGTTCTAAATTTTCCCCCTTTTGATCAGGATTCTTCTATGAAATCTTTGATCAAAATGTTCAATAACGGTAGTCAGTCACTGTCCAGTTCTTCTGGTATCATGGCAAAGAAGGCAGTTGTTCTTGGAGGCAATTACCAACACATTCCATATTTGAGGTCAGGTTATTACTGGAGTCTTAGCTCAGGTCTGTCTCACAGTGGTTCCAGTGGGTTCCTGAACTCATCCTGTAGTGATTTCCCCAGTTCCAGAATACACAACTGGAATAGACATACTCATAAAATGGCAGAATCCCCACACCGGATACCTGACATATGGAGTAAGGGCTACTATGGTAGGAAAAGCCAAGTGGAAGCCATAAGAACTGCCCCTACCTAGGAAAA